TTGTAGGATATAGAGTAGATAGGAAAAGCACCTCTAGCACCTGTCAATTCATAGGAACATCCTTAGTTTTTTTGGTCCAGTAGGAAGCAAAATTCAGTAGCTCTTTCCCTGCTGAGGCAAAATATATAACTGTAGGAAGTTGTGTTGCACAAGTGCTATGGTTGAAACAACAACTTCTAGATCTTGGATTACCCGTAGGAACCATCCCAATTATGTGTGACAACACTAGTGTAATTTGCATATCCAATTCAACACTCTCGAACAAAATATATAGATATTAACATCACTTCATAAGAGATCATGTAGCCAAGGGAGACATAAAATTGCACCATATAGCTACAGGAGATCAATTGGCAGACATTCACAAAACCACTAGCCTATAACACCTTTAGCATGTTGAGGACAAAATTAGGTGTCATAGACATTCACGCATGAGTAAAAAAAAATTACAAAAAAAAAAAATGGTCTAAGCTGTTTCCTGATAGCCACACACTCACCTCACTGAACTCCCAAACTAACCAATTTTCTGTCCCCATCGTACTGTATGATTCACCTTCGTAATGTACATTCTATACAAAATACACAGATCATAGCCCTCTGTTCAACCAACAATCCAGATTCAATTTCTGATCTGCATATTATATTGTACGATTCTCTTCGTAATGTACGATGCACGTGGCCGTGCATTCAAATCATTTGGTATGATATAATTGTCCTTCGTACTGTACGATATCTCCATTTTATACTGTACGATCCAAGTGTACAAATGGATTGAGACGAATTAAACTCGGTCAGTACGATATTATTGCACTTCGTACTGTACAAACACCCGTTCGTACTGTACGAACCTTTTCGTCAAATGTCGTACTGATGACTCCTCGGAACGAAAGTAATTCCTTCAGATCGTATGGTACGATACTGATCGTACTATGCAATTTGACCACCTTTTTCCCAACCGTTCGTCCAAACGAAATAAGTGTCTGATCGTACTATACGATACTCAATCGTACTGTATGAACACTCAAGAATCCTATAAATAGGAGGGGAAACTAGATCATTTCACTCAACCTCTCCTCACTCCACTTGTCTTCACTTGTTACTACTCAATGGCGAGCTCAAGAAAACGAGGTCGAGTCGTCCCGGGAAACTCCTCTTCCTCTTGTCGCCATGAAGATCGTTTTTTATCTGCTAAGGATGGGAGGCATACTATAAGTTCAAAGCATGCAAGATAACTCCTCGTATGCTAAATCAAGCAGCCCTCAACTTTGATGTGATGAGCCTCTTTGCTTCCACTACCTTCTAATTTCTTCTCACCCTGGCCTTTTTGTTCAATTCTGAACTCCTCTATGAATTTCTTGCCAATCAGAGGATAAATATAGACAACCTAAACCTCACTTCCTTTATCGGCCATCAAAATATAGAAATCACCAAAGCAGACCTTGCTCAATATATCAGGCTTTCTACTAAAGGACCTCGAGCCCACTCTTTCATAACAAATAAATTTGACTGGAGTTCTGTCAATTTGGTTTTTAAAAAAGTCGCTTTGAACCAACACCAACCTCTTGTCCAGTCCTTAACCCAAAATGCCCGCATCATCCAACATGTTCTTAGGACATCCATAATACCCAAAGCTAAAGATAGGATATGCATGACCCCAATCCTGTCTGTTGTCACCTACCTAATTATGTCAAATACTAGATTTGAAGAAGCCGATTTAATTATTGACTATATCCGGAACATGACCCAAATTTTCCTTCCTAGCACCCACAGAAAACTCAATTTAGCCCTCGGCCATCTCGTAAGATACATTCTTCACCACAAATACTAGTTAGCCTATCCTGGAGAACCTAAAAATTTTCCTATTTTCTATATGGATGCCTCCTTCCGTATCTTGTTTCATCAGGGACAAGTGCATGATGAGCTGAATTTTGATATAGAAGGGGAGGCTGCTCCAGCAAGAGAGCCTGCTCCACCAAGAAGACCTGCTCCACAAAGAGGACATGCACCTGCTTATCCTCACGACATTCAACGACTGGACCAACTAGAAACCCGGTTTGACTCTCATATCCGAGAACAACACCAACAACACGAGGAGGACATGCAATGGTTCGGGGAAAGATTTATTTCAATTGATCAACAGTTCGCGTCCATCCATCACTTCTTTCAACCACCTCCACCACCAACTGATCAAGATCCTCTTTGACTAAGTCACTGTCTGATGTGTTTTAAGTTTTTTTGTACTCCTATTTTTGCTGATGTCAAAAGGGGGAGAAGTTTGTCTACCTTAGTTATGCTTTCATGTTGCATATCATATTTTCTGTTCTAGTTTCTAACTTAAAATGAAATGCATGTTTTTTTCATGTTCATGTTTTTATTCATGTTTTTATTTATGTTTAATAAAAAAATTATATTATCTTGCCTATCGAAAAATATTATTTGATATTATCAAAAAGGGGAAGATTTTTACAGTCTATGACCCCTAGGCTGAGATTTTGATGATGACAAATAATGTTGATTAAATTATCTTATTATTCATTGAATATTTTGAATGTTATTATTGTATGTGAGTACTAATATTTCAGAAAGATCACTTATTGCTCAAGACAATAGAAGACTCGATACTAGGTAGAATAGGATGTGAAGGAGTCTATAACTTTATATTTTTTATTTTGTTTGTCTCTTGAGAGTTTTTTTAAGGGAAAAAATTTTTTTTTATAGATCGTACTGTACGATTTTAAATCATACTGTACGAAACACTGTGGCTCAAACGGCTATATTATGTGAACTAATCATATTGTATAATCACGATCATATTATACGATTCGTTTTCAATTCGAAACCCTAGTCGCCAGATTAATTTAAACAAGTTTTTAAATCATTGAATTTTGAATTGATCTTACTGTACGATCCTATCGTATTGTACGAATATTTGAATACTTGCTAAAATTAACCCATATGGTTAGTTAATTAAATAAAGGCTTGATTAATGGTTGGTGATCGTACTGTATGACATGGTTCAAACCGTATGATGAACCGAGGTTATTTTTTATCATCCCGAAGATCATACAGGACGATCTCTTGATTTTTGAACTAATTGTATCGGACGATGTATACATCGTACCGGACGACTTGAAGATTTTAACTGATCGTACTGTACAAGTTGGATCGTACCAAACGATGAACAAAGATGAATTTTGGTCTTCCCAACGTTCGTTCTATATGAACAGAAGAAGTTTACCACATCGTACTGGATGATATTTGTATCATACTATACAATGTAGTTCATAATAGTTGCTTGTTGGTACTCCATACCAGGACGAAAGCTATTTTGAACTGATCATACTGTACGATCTATGATTGTATTATACGAATAGAAATAGCTAAATTGAAAATCTTAGAGTTTCTTGGAGCCTGATATTTAAGTAATGCTTTTGTCTCTTGAAACAAGAGAGAGGAACGTGACAAAGGAAGGGAACTCTTGAGAGGGAGCCTCTTGAAGGGATTTAGGGCTTGTGAGAGGAAGGAGAATGTGAGTTTGTGAGGGAGAAGTGTGAGGGATCACACGGTTTCTCCAAGCCTGTTGCACGCTTGCTCCTCCTATGGCCCGGGCAAATCTTGTGGGAGCTCTCTAGAGGAAAAGCTTTCAAGGTCAACATCCTCAAAAGTCCTATGCCTTCTTCAGAAGAGAAAAATGAGAAGGTCCGATGCCGTCACCGGGAGGGTGAAAGTGAGTTTATGTAAAGGCTTCTCCACCTTGCTGTGGGGGAAGAAGGAGAATTACTTTTGAGTAGTAAAATTCCCGGAGTGGAGGAATCTGGGGAGTGGACTTAGGTCAAATGACTGGACCACTATAAATCTTCTGGTGTGTTTTTTCCATTTAACGCACTTCATTTTCTTTTTTGCATCTTACAATTGCTATAACTGCTTGGTGAGAATTCTATTTTAGAACTTTGTTGTGTAATTTAAAATTTTATCATCATTGTTACAATCTTGTTTTAATCACCAGCTTTTGCTTCAAGTTATTTTTTTGAAAATTACAAAAAATTTAGAACTCATGTTTAGGATTTGTTCTTAATTTAAAAAATATCAATTCACCCCCTCTTGATGCATCTCGTACTTTCATTAGCATCATCATCATTATTTGATCTATCATCTCAGTCATTTTTTCATTTAATATTTAAGTTATCATCAGCCTACCCCAGTTTAATCAAAAGCCTTCAAGCCAATAGAGTGAGATCAGTGTGGGTTACTATAATCTCTCTTCTTCTCTCCATGGTCCCTATAGCTATGATAGGTAGGTCTCCCCTCTCTTTTGTGGTAAACAGAGACTTATGGTGAACACATAGTGTGCGCCTCAAAGTCCTTGAAGTGGGAGAAGATGTTGGAATGTGGGTGGTTTCCCACAACCCAGAGCTTTTTATAAGAAATTATATTTTGGTAGAATGTAAGGCAAATTAGACAAACCTCCTATCTTATGAATGTAAGATGCATTCTATTGGCCTCGAAAAAATGCAATCTATGATGCAACCTCTATTATTAAGGGACGAAGAAAAGTATGTTTGGCATGAACCGCAGGTACGTTCAATTTAAATTCTACCATTTTATTGATTTTGTTCATATTATGCATGCCACTATGGTTGGACCATCTTGGTGACTACCCAATAAATTAGGTAAATGGGAATTTGTGAGGAAAACTTTATTGTAGTCAATGGATAGCTTCCTACAAATCTTGTAAGAATAAGGCAGAAATTGTGTCATCATAATGATTCAGTTTCTCATGGAATTAATTTCTCCATTTAAAGTTGTTCGCTTGATAGTAGTTTAAGAAGAAAGCTATTAATCAACTACCAATAGCAGTTCTGATAGAGATCCATCATAACCAGGATGAAAGCTAGCAATCAGCTAAATGATGCCACAAGGTCTAAGAAGCCAAGCAAGGATTAATAATAAACAGAGTTGCTAAGTACTTCATTTAAGTAAGAACAAGCAAAGTGAACTACCTTTCTTAGAAGACCACGGACTTCTTCCTTTTCAATATAAGTAACACCTACATGAGAATTAAAAAAAAAAAGGAGAAATATCAAGCCTCACAAATTTTGTATGAAATGATTATTTAACCCTTTATCACCATTGATCAGCTGAGATAAAAATCACCCAGAAATGCCGACTAAACTAAATTCGTTGATATGGAAAGCGTAGGTACAATTGCCGATGCCAACGCAATGCATTAGAGGAACACCAACAAAGACAAAAAAAAAACTGGATTATGGTGCATCCTTCTTTTGTATTACAAACAATATAAAATGATTAAATGAAAGAAAACCATCCATCTTTCTCATTAGTGATGCATTGAGGTAAATATTTGGCAACAAAATCCTAAGGAACCAAACATTTGGAACTTTTGAGATGATTGATTACAAGGCCAATTTCGCCTACCCTTTTTTATGTTAAAAAGGAAAATTATTTAATTAAAAGCATAAATTAATATACCTATATGGTCCTACAGAAGGAAAGAGCCCTTTTCCTAGAGAACTTTATTTTTCAATATACTTCCATCATTAACTCAATCAAAATTAAAACTGTTGATTCATCTCCATCAATTAAACTAGGTAGAATATGGTTTAGATTGTGTATTACCACGTTTCATTTTTCTGAAAGTATTCAAATTAAATGAAATTTCACAAGTGCCTGTCATTTCATTTGGGTCAATAAATTCGATTCTCAAAAAATACTCAAAATACTAAGTATTTTTGTATCATTAAAAGTGCACCAATCTTTATTTTTCTTATGGTTGATAACTAATTGAATAAAAAATTCTTAAAACTTTTGTTCTTAATGTTTCAATATGTTATGATCACTGGTGATGATTTTCATTTAAGAAGGTCTATAATCAAAATGTAATCGGTAGAAACATTGTGGTGGCTTGTATGTGAGGAAAATAAGTATTCTGCATCTTTTATTTTTACATCTATAGTCTTATAAGGACTTCAAATCCAGTATCATGCAATTAATCTTCAACTATAACATAAAAATTACGCATAGATAAAATTTTACTAACCTTGATGATAGGATAACATATATAAGCCAACTCAAAAGTCTAGGTTTACTCACGTATTTCGCTAATAAAAGCATTCTATTACCATCTATAATCATTTGCAGCCCACTTAACGCCATGTCAGTTAAAAGACTCAACAATTCACACATGAAAAAACGTGATTATCAACTTCTGCCATCAAAATCAGCCATCGAGATAATTTTGATGCATCCAATTGATAATCAAACGTTCATAAATAGTGGATTACACTAGTTTAAAAGATGTCAAAGAAAATGGATGATTTTGTGCTTACATTCAAATGACATAACATCAAAATTTAAATGGGAGGAGAAAAAGTTATATATATATATATGTGTGTGTGTGTATGTGTGTGTATATGCGTGCATGTGTGTAGATTAATCTATAGAGAGAGAAAAAGATTAAAATGGTCCCTAATTATATTAAAGGAACATTTTGGTCCCTCGGGTCCTTAAAAAGGAACCTAAATAGTCGCATGGGGGACTGTCTTAATTCCTTTTTAAAGAATTGACGGATCAAAATGATCCTTTAAAGTAGTTGGAGACCATTTTGATTTTCTCTTATATATTATCATATTCCCAATATATATTAAAACGGCTAACCCAAGATCAATAAACGAAAAGAAAAGCCATCCTTACTTGGGTATCTACCACATTGTGCAATTTGATATCGTACTGAAAATATAAGGCCTGCACAACAAATAGGAAAGTGAATCTATAATGAACTTTTTACAAATAGGCAGCACAAAGAAACAAACGGAGGCAGAAGAAATAAAATCAATTAAAACCTCACTATCCCTCTTGCAGTCATGGATGACTTTTGTAATGTAACTAGACTCTAGCGCTGGTTTACAAGCTCGCACAAGTGCATCTCCACCTTCAATGGTATCGACCAAGTATATGGCATCTGTAAATGCTAGCTAGACAATAGGGAGTAAGCCAAAAATACCCTTATAAGCTACTGAGCTAAAAAATAGTATAAAAAAAGAATATTCGACTTTTACTCAAACAGTTCCACAAAATCTGATATCCTAAAAACATAATGTTTATATTTATATTCAAAGAAATTCTATTAATCATAACAGAGATAGAGTTGACAGAAATGAAGATAAAAAGTTTAGAAATGAGATAGGGAACTACCATGATTTTGAGATCAAAGTAGATGAAGCCAAAAAAAGTTTCAGTACTACCTGACTGGCTTGGAGAGCCCTAGCACAATAGAACTTACTCTATTTCTGAAGGCAAGCTGACAAAGCATGTCCAACCAACAACAGGATCAAGATTTAATTTAAAGGTCAATTCTCAATGTAAAAAAATTAACCAAATAGAATTCAAAGTTAGACCTTCATCCAAGGATTCATGTTTCCAGAGGAATATGGACTTATGAATGGGTTGGTTTCCACAAACTACTCTCAAATCAAACATTTAGACCAAATATAGGCAATCAACAGCAAACCTTGAATTACTTGCCAAAGCTTCAGTCTAACATAATCATGTACTTTGCCAATTGGGATCATGAATCAACGCCAATGCAAGCCAACTATGACCCAATTAATTTATATATTATTAACTATAGTCGGACACAACTTAAGGGGGTTAGGGCTTAATTGGCATATAGATGAGCCTTCGATTGGAAGTGTTGGAATTAAGGTTAGGCCACTTCACTTCATCCCTGACTAATAGTTGCATTTCAGTTCTTAAATGTATAAAGTGGTGCAATTTAAACAAATGACACATAATTCCAAAATTGACCAAACAGAGAGAGCATGACCTGTCCTTTTTATGTCAGCAAAGATGACGTGCATCAACAAGAAACTTTGGTATATATTGATATGTTTGCATACTAGCATTGTGTTAGGAAATACTTGAGAAATCCAAGTAATCTCTAACAAGAGAGAAGAAAACAGCAAATGAACAAGATTCGGATGGGAAAATTCAGCAAAACCAGCACCTTATGATTGACGGAAACCAAATAAACAAACAAGATACAATAGATCCTCAATTTGAGAGGAGGATCTTCTCTCCCAATCCCTAGAAGAAATCTAGGGCCCAAGACTTCAAGACAAGAACTCTCAAAACAGTCACCAAAACATGTATAACCCTAACCCTAAACAATTCTTGCTATTTAATCCCTCCTTCCCTAATTTCAAACACCGGATTCAAACTTTTCCCTCCCATTCCTAGCCGCCCCCCTCTTTTCCCTAAACGGCTTGCCTAGTGGGCCCCACTAGGCTAGGGTGGCACCATAAAGGGGGCGGCTTGTCCGCCTCCTGTAATAAAGAACCAGCCTTTGGGCCGGTTCAAGGAGAACTGGCCTAACAATACCATCCTCCCAACGAAGAACCTTGTCCTCAAGGTGAAAAGAGCGAAACTAGTACTTCACCCTCTCATAAGGCTCCCATATCGCCTCGTAATTTGGAAGATTCTTCCACTTGATCAACACCTCATTTTCCCTTCCCTCTCCCTGGTGCACCCCTTGCAACTCAAAGGTTTCCAACATCACCTCCAAGTCCTCTGTTAATGTTGTTGGTAGCTCAAAACTGGTTGCATGATCCCCAATCACCCTCCTTAGTTGTGAGACATGGAAAACAGGATGTATGTTTGTTATTGCAGGCAACTTCAGCTTGTATGCCACCTCCCCTATCCTATCCAGTACTTCAAAAGGCCCAAAAATCTTAGAGCAAGCTTCTCATTCATTTAATTGGCGACGGTCTTCTGCCCGTAAGGTCGAAGTTTTAAAAATACCCTTTCCCCCACTTCAAATTAGATATCCTTCCTCTTCCCATCGACTTGCTTCTTCATAATCTGCTGAGCCCTCAGTAAATGCCTCTTTAGTTCTTCCAACACCCCGTCCCTTTCCTCCAAGTACTCCTCTATTGATGAAACTGGGATACTTATATGCCCAAAATGAACCAAGTGAGAAGGATCTCTTCCATACAACACCTTGAATGGGGTCATCTGAGAAGCAGAATAATATGAAGTATTGTACCAATACTCCGCCCATGCCAAACACTTGCACACTGCTTGGGTGTCTCTGACACAAAGCATCGTAGGTATATTTCCAAGCTTCTTTTGACCACTTCTGTCTGGCCATCTGTCCGTGGATGGTAAGTCGTGCTCCTCTTTAATACTGTCCCCTGTAGCCTTAATAGCTCATTCCAAAATGGTTGAGAAATACCTTATCTCGATCTGATACTATGGACTTTCGTATCCCGTCTAAGTAGACCACCTCTCGGATAAAAGTTGATGCCACTGTCACGGCGGTTTAGGGATGTCGTAGAAGAATGAAATGAGCATACTTGCTCAATTTGTCAGCTACTACCAAGATAATTGTGAATTCCTCTAATCTGGGTAGCTCATCTATAAAGTACATGGATACCTCCTCCCACACTCATCTTGGTAAAGCTAAAGGTTGTAGCAATAGGCATGATCATGTACTCTTTTCTCTAACATATCTCACATCTGGCTACCCTCCCTTCCACATCCTTGTGCATTCTCTTCCAATATAGCTCTGAGGCAAGTCCCATGTATGTCTTCTGCACCCTTGAATAGCCTCCAATGGTGCTCCGATGAAAATCCTGGAGTAAGTGTGGGATGTGGACAGATGTCCTAGGCAGCACGAGCCTCCCCTGATACAACAGCCTCTCCCCATCTAGAGAATACACTGGATGGCTATTCCTTTCCTTCAGCAATTCCGCACTAATTTTTCCCAACCCCTCATCTCGTGTACCTTCCTCCTTAATGGCCTCCCAATCTAGCATCAACGGGACTGAGACTGCTATCGCCTGTAACTCTCCCATGCATCTAGACAACGCATCTGCTGCCTTATTCTCCATGCTTATTATATATTGTATTTCAAAGTCATGCCCCAGCAAGTTAGACAATCATCTATGATGTTCCTCAGTCACCATCCTTTGCTCCAACAAGTACTTCAAACTCTACTGATCTGTCCTAACAATGAAGTGCCTACCTAACAAGTATGGTCGACACTTCTGGATGGCTAACACAATGGCCATCAATTCCCTCTCATATACTAATTTCAGCCTAGCCCTAGCTGTTATTACCTGGTTGAAATAAGCAATGGGTCGTCAGCCTTGCATGAGTATTGCTCCCAATCCATACCCTGAGGCATCTATCTCCACTACGAAAACCTGGGTGAAATCTGGTAGAGCCAAACTGGTATCATGGTCATGGCCTTCTTCAAGCTCTCAAAAGCAGTTGTAACCGCCTCTCCCCATAAGAACCCATCCATCTTCAATTGTTATGTCAGTAGCCATGCTATGGGGTTGTACCTCTTCACAAACCTTCTGTAGTATCCAGTTAATCCAAGGAATCCCCTCAACTCCTTTAGATTTTTTGGCATTGGCTACTTTAGCAAGCCTCAATTTTAGCCTGATCCGCCGCGACCACCTCTTTAGAGACAATATGCTTCAAGTATTCCACATTGGCCTGGGAAAAGCAACATTTCTTCAGATTTGCCCTCAGTTAGTGCTTCTGCAATTCCTCTCGTACCCTACGCAAATGCTCCTAGTGATCATCCTCTGTCATGCTATAAATTAGGATATCGTCAAAAAATACTAACACAAATCGCCTAAAGACCTTGTTCATGAGTGATTGAAAAGTGGTTGGGGCGTTAGTGAGGCTAAATGACATCACAAGAAACTCATAATGCCCTTCTTGAGTTCGAAAAATAGTCTTTGGCACATCCTCTATTTTTATCCTGATCTAGTGGTATCCTGATTTCAGATTTATCTTAGAGAATATAACTGCCCCACTTAACTCATCCAGTAGCTTATCTATCACTAATATAGGAAATTTATCTAGCACCGTTTCCTTATTCGATACCTTGTAGTCAACACAGAACCTCCAACTCCCCATATTTTTTTTCTAACCAGTAGCACTGGACTAGAAAAAGGACTAACACAAGGCCTGATGATCCCTTCTTCTAGCATCTCTCTAATCAACCTTTCAATCTCATACTTCTAAAATTGTGAATATTATTAGGGCCTGACGTTGATGGGTGACACACCTTCCTTCAATGTGATAGAGTGTTCCTGCTACCTTGGTGGAGGTAAGCCTTGAGGTGGCAGAAAAAAACCTCACTGAATTGTTGAACTAGTGGTTGTACTGAAACTGGAATCTCCACTCTATCCTCCAGTCTGATACCTTCCAACCTGTGCAGCTCCACTAGGTAACTTTCCCCCACCTCCTGTATGCTCCCCACCTTTGTTTTAAGTGATACAAAGACCTTGAAAAGCCCAACATCTCCCTTTATCTCTATTGTTTACCTGCATCTCCCTTTATCTCTACTGTTTCCCCTTCCACCAACAGCTCCATCTTCAATGCCCCCCAGTTGACATTGGTGTCGCCCAAAGTCGTAGCCATTTTCATCCTAGTCATCCCTAGGATGACATCAATACTCCCCAGCTTCAATGGGAGGAAATCCTCCCTCGCCAGAACCTCCTCTATAGTTAACTCTATTCCTCTACAGATCCCCTGGCCCATCTCCACATTTCCTATACCCATCATTACCCCATATCGTCCTGTATCCACCAATATCATCCCCAAGTGTTTCACAACCAGGTTGGAGATGAAATTGTGGGTAGCTCCAATATCGATCAGCACTACCACCACCATATATGCTATCTCTCCATGTACCTTTATGATATGATTTGGGGTAAATCCTACCACGAAGTTCAGGGATACCTACGCCAATCTAAGTGCAGCTTCTCCTCCATCTATCCTTCTACCCCACCCTCACCTCCCTCCTCAATTTTCTCTTCATCACAAAAAGTGAGAACCTGAAGAGTTTGGTCCTTACATCTATGCCCTAGAGCATACTTCTCAACACACCTAAAACATAACTCCTTTGCCCTCTTCTCTTGCATCTCTTTTTCCACCAACCTCTTGAAACTTCGCC